ACAGCTGAGAAATATCACACCTTGGGAACAATGTATCAGTATGCCCACTCCAATATGCAAATATTAATACATCAGTGTGTGAGCTGTTACCCTTGACATAGTGTGAAAACTCGAGCTAATCGAGAAAAATGGATAGCTTTTTTGAATTCAGCACACAAAACTTGTATTAGAACAGCTGAGAAATTTCCAACTTTGGGGAAAATGTATCAGTATGCCCACTCCAATGTGCATATTAATACATCAGTGTGTGAGCTTTTATCCTTGACATAGTTTGAAAACTCGAGCTAATCGAGAAAAATGGATAGCTTTTTCGGATTCAGCGCACGAAACTTGTATAAAAACAGCTGAGAAACCTCCGACCTTTTGAAAAAAGTTGAAACGCAGGCCAGTGTTATCAACTCTCTTTCGCATGTAGGCGCCCTTATCACCTAAGCGCCGGCGTTGGACTCATATATGCAGAGGGCGGCATGAGACTTATCAGAGCTAAAGCGATAGAGCTTGCCAGGCGCCTTCAGAAGTCCTGTGTGGTTCTTAGAGACCGCATGATGCTCTCAGACGCAGGTGGGGCGCTCGGAGTCGACAGTGTCAGTGTGGGACCTTCAGATTCGCCGATGGGTGCCCGCCAGATGTGGACCCTCAGGGACGCCGGTATGGGACATTAGATCTCAGTGAGAGCTTGTGTGGTGCCTCCAGTGGCGTTGTGGAGCCGTTAAACATCAACATGGTGCTCTCAGGCGCCGGTGAGTCCTCAGAGTCACCGGTGTAGGGCCTTCAGAGCTCAGAGATACTGGTGTGGGGCCCTCAGAGGTGTCGGTGTGGGTCCTTCTGATGCACCTATAGAGCCTTGAGATGCATAGGTGTGTGGCCCATAGAGGCGCCGGTATGGGGCCTCCAGAGCCACCGATATAGGGCCTTAAGAGATATTGGTATGACCCTCAAAGGCACCGGTGTGTGGCGCTCACAAACACTGGTGTGGAGCCATCACGGGCGGGTGGAGCCGTTAGAGGCCGCAAAGGCCCTTAGATGCCTACAAGGAGCCTTCAGAAGCCGGCTTGGCACCCTTATGGAGATAAGCGTGTCTACTTAGGAGCCCTTGAGGTGCTCTCATGAGCTCTGTGGGGCCCTAACAAGCCGAAACATGGCTCGAGTTTTTTTCAACGGCCAGTTGCCGCCACATGGCTCTTCGGGCTATTATTCTCAGGCGCCTCCTCTGCCTAGTTTGAATAGAAGGGCCTCTCAGACCATCAGTCTCGCAGGCCTATTCTGGCCACCATCAGTCTCAGGGGCCTCATTTGGCAAGTATTGATAGAAGGGCCCCTCAGATCACCAATCCCAGGGGCTTGCTCTGGCTAGTATAAACAGAAGAGCCTCTCAGATCATTAATTTCAGGGTCGTCTCTTGGCTACTTATGAATAGGAAGGGCTCTCAGACCCTCAATTTCAGGGACCTCCTCTGCCGATTATGAATAGTAGGGGCTCTCAAACCACCAGTCTCAGGTGCCTCCTCTATCAGTATGAAAAGAAATGCCTCTCAGACCATCAGTCTCATGGGCCTCCTCTGGCTAGTATAAATAGGGCCTGTTAGACCATCAATCCCAGGGGCCTCCACTGCTTAGTATAAATAGAAGAGCCTCTCAGACCATTAATCTCAGGGGGCTTTTGTGGCCAGTATAAATAAAAGGGCCTCTCAGACTATCAGTCTCGGGGGCCTCCTTAGAACAGTGTGGCTAGAGGGGCCTCCTCAGATTCACTATAGGACCTCTATGACCACCAGTCTCAGGGGCCTCCTGTGGCCAGTATGAATATAAGAGCCTCTCTGACTATCAGTCTCAGGGGCCTCTTCTGACTAGTGTGGATAGAGGGCCCTCCCAGACCACCGGTTTCAGGGGCCTCCTGTGGCCAGTATGAACAGAAGGGCCTCACAGCCCATCAGTCTCAGGGGCCTCTTCTGCCTGGTGTGAATATGAGGGCCTCTCAGACCATCAGTCTCAGGGGCCTCCTCTGCCTAGTGTGAATATAAGGGCTTCACAGGCCATCAGTCTCAGGTGACTCTTCTGACTAGTGTGGATAGAGGGACCTCCCAGACCAAAAGCCTTAAGGGGTATTTGTGGCCAGTATAAATAAAAGGGCCTCTCAGACCATCAGTCTCGGGGGCCTCCTTAGAACAGTGTGGATAGAGGGGCCTCCTCAGATTCACTATAGGACCTCTATGACCACCAGTCTCAGGGGCCTCCTGTGGCCAGTATGAATATAAGAGCCTCTCTGACCATCAGTCTCAGGGGCCTCTTCTGACTAGTGTGGATAGAGGGCCCTCCCAGACCACCGGTTTCAGGGGCCTCCTGTGGTCAGTATGAATAGAAGGGCCTCACAGCCCATCAGTCTCAGGGGCCTCTTCTGCCTGGTGTGATTATAAGGGCCTCTCAGACCATCAGTCTCAGGGGCCTCCTCTGACTAAATACAGTGTAGATGGAGGGACCTCCCAGACCATCAGTTTCAGGGGCCTCTTCTGACTATTGAGGATGGAGGGCCTCCTCTGACTAGTGACAGTAGGGACTAGCGGGCCTCCCAGACCGCCAGTGACAGGGGCCTATTCTGACTAGTATGGATAGAGGGGCCTCCGGACCGCCAGTGTCAGGGGCCTCCCCAGACATATTGGGGCCTCCTCAGATCCACTAGGGCCCCTCAGGCCATAGGTCTCAGAGGCCTCCGCTGACAAGTATGGATAGAGGGCCTCCTTGGACCCACTAGGGTCCCTTGGAGTCCGTGCTTGGGGATTCGTGGAACATGGTGGAACTTATTTTTACCGAGTTTGTTTATTCTGGAAGGTGACGACGTCCTCTCAACTCGAGACGGGAGGGCCTCGAGTACAAAGTGGGGGGGGGGGGGGGCAAACACATGGTTGGCCCCCCACCTCAAAAAGTGGGTGGGCACTTGCCCACCTGCCCCCCCCCCCCCGGTTCCTACGCCTATGGTAATACCATCACTTGTATTCACAGTATGCGCCACCAAGTGCGCCAAGAACTGTCTCATCTTGCGCAAGCACTCAGGGGCGTAGCCAGGAGCTCCTCAAGGGGGTTCCAAACTTACAGAGGCCAAGGTAACCCCCTCAAAATTCAAAGTCATTAGATTTCATCCACTTTTTTGGTGGGGTCCCAAATAAATTGAAAAATATTTATATAAAAGCTGAAAAGAAATGTTAAAATGAGGGGGCAAGCAGTCCATGGGTCCCTGCTAGATAGACCCCTGAATAGCTTCGTAGAGTCGCTCAGCCGGTTCTGAAGGTGGACTGAGAGCCCTGTAGGTCGGATGAGGGTCCTTCAGACCGTCAAAGGTCCCTACAGCCCATGAGAGCTTCGTAAGCGGGCTGAGAGTCATGTAAGCCGTCTAAGGCCCACTCAGACTGACAAAATTGTGAAAAGCTAATTGATAAAAAAGGTGGAACAAATCGCTGGAGAAAATGGGGTTTGTCCATGATGTGCCACCTACTTAATTACACGGGCTTTGCTGCATAGTCTGATACGCTTGACAATTTACAATGGTATCGTTGGAAAGAGCATTCAATTTTCTCCTTGATCCACTCATCATTTTTGTTCGACTAGCAAGAGTATTCTTAAAAATATACATGTTTCAACCTTCTGCATAGCCATTTTTATCGAAATTCATCTACGGCTTTCACTTACAATAACCTACACACCAATGCTATAAAACACACTTGACATGTTCTAAAGCAGAAAGCATGCTTATTGCTTATGTAAGGGGCCCGCCTGTAGAAGAAGAAAGCGCCCGTGGGACGTGACGGGTGCCGAGTAAAAGACGTGTGATTTGAGCCGAGTTAACCCTCGCCCGTATTGGTGTTTTTCCAGCCGCGAACGTATAAGTGGGGTCCGTTGAACCCCCCCCCCTTGCCGTTTCGCCCCTGATCGAGCTAGAGCTTCGAGGAAAAAACGAGCGTGTTGCCCGTGACGAGAGGAAGCCGATGATACCCAATTTTAAGGTCCTAGGTCATTGGTTGACCTTGCAGGTCAGGTCAATGACCCCAAAGGCGAGAAAATCGGGAACTGTTAGAACGTCGTAAAATGTGGCTGCTATGGGTTTTTTCGGGGTGCTGATCACGAATATCATGTTAGTTTTGATCACAGATGATGTCTTCATGTATTTAGGCCAGGTCGGGTCAGGTCAGGTCAGGTCAACCAGTAAAGGTATTCGTAGTAGGTGGCAACCGCCTCTGACAGCTTCGTAACATGTTACGAAGACACCAAAACTACTTCGTAAATGTTCATATGGTTGCTAAATTCGAATTCAGCTAAAAAACTGGCCTAGAAACATGCGAAACTGGAAAAAGTGAACCGAGGTCATCAAAGGTCAATGACCTGACCTGACCTTCAGGTGACCTTGACACCCACCCTAATGCATGGGGGCAACATCATATCACATGTTTGAACGCTTGAAACCACGAAAAGACTGCAAACGCGCGGCTAATACGAGCCGACATACGCCGAATCGCGATTCCAGCCAAACATGGTCTCGAAAAGTAGGTCACAGGTCAAAGGTCATTTGGGTCAGGGTCATGAAATTTTCAGGGTAGGTGTGAAATTGATGAACGCGAGGGTACTGAAAGTTTCGTCGCGATCGGCCGCTTTTACGCGAGTTATTCGCGAAAAACCATGGGGGGTCCGTTCGACCCCCCCCCCGTATACGGGCGAGGGTTAAAGAGCTAACCTTGATTTGTGTACACGTTGGCGAGGAATGATCGTGAAGGTCGGCGTTGTGGGCGCTCCCCCGCCCCGTTGCGTTGCTGAGCATATTTGGTTTTGGTTGTGTGGCCGGCCGGAGATCGTGTGAATACGACGGAAAAGACCAAGATATTGAGTGTTTTTATTTCAACGTCGCTACGGAAGAGCAAGCGAGCTCTTACATCAGCGGTGGGATACTGATACGACGCCCTGAAGGCCTACGACTGGAAATCGGGAGATGTCCCTGGATGGCGGCGAAAGCGGCGCAATGATATCAGAGAAAATCAAGATGGAACCGGGAGCTAGTCGGAATGCGGAATGGAGGCCATCGGTGTTCTGCAAGAATACCGAGGACATTCAGAGATATTTTCGTATATTCAAACGAGTGGCAGGGGCTAACGACTGGTCTGAAGCCAGACAGCTGTCGGTCTTACCGGCGCTGTTCACGGAGGAGGCAGAGTGGGTGGCAGAGGAACTGGAGTCTGCAGCACCTACCTCCGTCGAACAGGCCGAGCAGCTGGCTGTGAGGCTGCTGTGCTCTAAAGAAAAGCGGAAGGTGAGTTTACATCAGTTTTATGAAGCCAGGCTGAGTGAGAAGGATGAACCTCGTGAGTTTGTTCAACGGCTTCGTGAGTCGTTGAAGGCAGGAATGCCAGACCTGAATCAAGAAGGTCAGGAAGAGCTGTTGATGGAACACTTACCCCGAGTGGTACCGTCAAGGTGGCAGCTAAAATTGTTGGATTGCGATGCAAGCGATGTACGAGGGTTGGTCAGGCGGCTGGACCGCATGAAGACTGTGGAGCAGTTGCATCATGATATGACGAAGAAGCATGATGCTGCCAGCCAGGTGAGGCTGGTACAGAGGACAAAGCGCTGCTTCAACTGTGGCCGCCAGGGCCACCTCCGAGCTCAGTGTTTCAGGGGACCCAGGGTTCCCAGTGCACCAGCTCCTCCAGCAGCGACATCTGCAGGTCCTGGTGCCACTGCACCGGCTTCTGTACCGCAGACCAGGATGACTGGAACCGGTGATCGCCAGCCAGCTGTTGGTGGTCTTCGCTGCTTCACCTTTGGAGGGGTAGGCCACTTCCAAAGGGAGTGCTCCAGTCGCAGAGAGGTAAGGAAGCTGAGCACCAACAGGGAGTCTGAGGTCAAAGTCAGAGTCACGATTGGAGGAATGTCCAGTGTGGGTGTTCTGGATACGGGTAGCGCTGTGAATCTTCTGAGTGAAGAAGAGGTTCAGGAGCTAGGCCTTGACATGCACCAAAAGGATTACATCCAGTGTGTTGCTGCCAATGGGAATACTGTACAAGTATGTGGTCTGGTGGATGCCCCGATTGTTGTTGGGAAAGCTAGTGTCGAGCACACGTTTCATGTTGCTAGGAACCTGGCTGGCCCGTTGCTTCTGGGCATGGACATACTGAAGAAGCTGAACATTGTGATTCTCTGTGGGTCTGGAGAACTAAGTGTGGATGGAGAGAGACTGGACTTGTGTCGTCCTGAGGATGTCTTCACCAGGCACCAGTTGTCCTGCCCACCACTGTCTGAAAGCTTTTTCAGCATTCGGAGGGTAGCAATGGCTGAGCCCCAGCTGTTCGAACCTGTCCCACTGAATGACCTTGAGATCGCTTCATCACTGTTCCTGCCCTGTCAAGGTGTTCCAGTGCGCTTGGTGAACCGGACAGATGAAGAGATTCTCATTCCGGCAGGGACTGTACTCGGACACAGAGAGGAGCTGGAGATAGCAGAGCTGGCGATGCCCGAAGTTGCAGGAAATCAAGCTGCTGAGTCTGTCCAGGAGCCCAGGTCGACTGAGCAAGAGACGCTCCAAGCTTGCGGAGGCCAGCTGGAATATGGGAGTTCAGGTGGTGCTCCAAGTGGCACCCTGGAAGAGGAAGTTAGTAACGCAGCGGGTACCTATCGGTTGCCAGAGGTCGGGCATGTACCGGAGCCCTACCAGTCGCAGCTCCAGCAGATGCTAGTGGAGTACAGGGATGTTTTCTCACAGTCGAATGAAGACATCGGACGGCACGTCGGTGACAAGGTCATGAGCATTGACACGGGAGATGCGAAGCCCATCTGTCAGCGTGCGTATCGCACTCCGTTCCATGTGCGAGACGAGATGAAGAACAAGTTGGAAGGAATGCTACAGCAGGGTGTGGTCGTGGAGTCCCATTCGCCTTGGGCGAGCCCCGTCGTGCTCGTAAAGAAGAAAAATGGAGACCTGCGCTTCTGCTGTGATTTTCGGGCGGTGAACACGGTGGTAAAGCATGATGCGTACCCTTAAGCCCGTATTGAAGATCTCTTGGAAGCCACTTCTGGGTCCAGGTACTTCTCCATTCTGGACCAGACCTCTGCGTACTGGGCGATCCCACTGGACCAGAGCTCCCAAGAGAAGACAGCATTCATCACAGAGTATGGGCCTGTACCAATGGACGAGACAACCATTCGGTCTCAAAACCAGTCCTGTTTCCTTTCAGAGAATCATGGAGGACATGTTGGGTGAGCAGCTGCAGAAGCAAGCAGTTGTTTACCTGGATGATGTGATCCTGTTCACTGATGACCTTTCCAGTCACCTGAAGTACCTGAAGGAGACACTGGACAAGTACCGAAGCCATGGACTGAAGTTGAACCCCCACAATTGCCTGATCGCAAAGACTGAGGTCGACTTCTTGGGACATCGTGTGAGCTGTGATGGAATCCGACCATCCGCTACCAAGCTGGAAGCACTCGAAAGCTGGCCCACTCCGAGAACCAGTAAGGAGTTGCGAACGTTTCTGGGCTTCGCTGGCTACTATCATCACTTTGTTCCAGGGTTCTCTCAGAAGGCAGCACCTCTCACTGACCTTTTGCAGAAGGGCAAGGACTTCAACTGGAGTGAGGAGTGCGACAGGAACTTCAAGCAGCTGAAGGAGGATCTGCAGTCGTACTCGGTGCTCCAGTGTCTTCGGATTGAAGAGGAGTTCACACTCACGACCGATGCTAGCCTGACCGGCTGGGGAGCTGAGTTACGCCAACCTGCGGGAGTGATAGCATTTGCTTCAGGCAAATGGAACTCAGCCGAGTCAAACCGAAGTGTCACGGAAAGGGAGTTAACTGCAGTAGTGAAGGCCGTCACGGAGTTCAGACATTACATACTGGGAAAACACTTCACCCTGAGAACGGATCACGAGGCAATCAAATACCTTCAGCGCTCGAGAGTACCGTCGGGACGGCTGTTCCGCTGGCTGGAACTTCTCCAGGACTACGACTTCGTCATGGAACATGTTCCAGGACGAGTGATTCCACACGTCGACGCGCTTTCGCGGCGTCCGTCCAAAGGAGCTCCGACCGAGCGACCGGCTTCACAACTACGACCAACGGCCCCTGAGTTCAAGCCGAAGAGTCGGCAAGAACGAGAAGAGAAAGAAATCGAGGGAAAACGAACGGAGGAACCTGCTGATACTCAAGCAAGCCGAGCTGTGATCAGAGAGACCAGGATCCTCGATGATGAAGAACTCTCTCTAGCTGAGGAAGTTGGAAGAGATCCAGTGCTGAGTCTGCTGAAAAGTGCATTGCAAGGCAAGGCAATCGATCCGAAGGCGCTGACTTCCGACCAGCGAAAGGAACTGGAGTTCTATCAGAGGATGGATGGCCTCATGCTGAAGCAGGGATTGATCTGGGCGGAAGACATCGGAGTCTATGGATCCACAGATGTTGGTGCCTGAGAAGTTGCGCGCCAGGGTTTTGTACCTAGCCCATGACACGCCTTTGGCAGCACACGGAGGTGTCAAGAGAACATTGGGAAGAGTGAGCAAACGCCACTACTGGTATCGTATCAGGCAAGATGTCCACGACAAAGTACAGGCATGCCCTTCCTGTCTGGCGGTGAAGGCGAAGACATGCAAGACCAAAGATGGACGAGGGACGGTGCCCGTGGTGGGAGAACCTCTGACGCAGTAGGCAGCTGATATCCTCGAACTACCAGCAACGAAAGAAGGCTACAAGTATGTGTTGGTCGTTACGGATTATTTTTCAAAATTGGCGGAAACGTTTGCATTGAAAAACCAGACAGCAGAAGCGGTAGCGGAATGCCTTCTCCCAGTGATCTGCCGTTTCGGTGTGATGAGCTCCATACTGACTGATCAAGGTCGCAACTTTGAGAGCAGCCTGGTCAGCGCGCTGTGTAAGCTGCTCGGAGTACGCAAGCTGAGGACCTCGATATACCACCCTGCTTGCAACGGACAAGTCGAGAGATTCAACCGTTCTCTGGTGGAGAGTCTGAGACATTTCTGCCAGGCGAATGGCGCGGACTGGGTTCGATGGCTACCGTTGGTTACTTTCGCGTACAACTCTGGTGTCCATGCTGTGACTGGAGTGTCTCCATGGGAGCTGGTGTTCGGCAGGGAGGCTCGGACACCGGTTTGTGTCGAATTCGAGGAAGAGGTCAAGAGCCTGTCACACAGTGGCGTATCCAGGATCTTGGAAAGGGGGAGGCCAAACCTGCTCGAGGGGCCCCATCCTTACCTTAGGGGCCCCAGTAGTATAGCGTACTTAACTCACGCCCAGGTGCGGTTCTTTGCCACTTTTGCCATGTGAGGGAGCCTTTTTAGGCACACTCGGCAATCTAAAAAAAAATGTTGAAACGTGAAAAAGGCATCGATATCGATAGCTCTGTAGCGTACAATTTATTTCAGCAGTAGGCATAAAGTTTTTTTTTTGCTTTGGTCGTCGCTAGGGTCACTAAAGATCATCAAAAGCAAAATGTCTTTGCCATTTTTTTTTAAGATTGTAACATTTTTCAAAGGGCAGATGTCAGTCTCTTAGTGTCTTGCGCTGGTTGAGGGCTGGTACGCCCCCCTCGCCCATGTAGGGGGGGGGGGTTGATGCAACCCCCCCCCTGAGGTTTTTCGGAAATAGTGCAAAAACGGCGGCGCGCAGCGCCGCCAAATTTTGGGTACCTTATGGGGCAAACCTTGCGCATCTTTTGATAAAAAAAAATTTGACCGGGTCATGTCAAGTCACGGAGTTATGACGTCACAAAGGGAACAGCCTCCGGCCGGATTTTCACAAACTGAGTGCCAACGCCCGAGGTTTCCTGCCGGTGGTACGGACATCGGTTGATGGATCGTGATGAAACTTCCCATGCATATTGGGGCAAGTATTGGCTATCATATGGTATAAGAAACTTGACCGGGTCAGGTCAGGTCACGGAGCTATGACGTCACAAGAGGAACAGCGTCCGGTACTATTTTTGAAAAGCGCCCGAACCACTATTTTGCTAATTCTTGTCACCTCAATGGGAATATGCAGCAATATTAGCTTCTATAGGGAGCAAATGGAACTCCCAAATCCAAAAATACAATCAGATTTCAAAAATTTAAATTTTGATTTTTCGAATTTCTGCCGCCGACTGTGACCTTGCCGATTTCGGGCGCTCCCAACGCGCCATTTTTAGAGCTAGGGAAACGAAATACATACCAAACGATAGAGAATTGATCAAGGAACACGATAGTGAAGGTTTCAAGTCGGTATCTCCCACCGTTTTGCCGCAATCGCCGCCGAAAGTTGAAAAAGTCTATTTTTCCGAAAATTTGACATTTGACCGGTCAAAAGTAGGTCAAATGTTGACCTAGGACCAAAAAATATACCACCAATCGCGAGATCTCGGCGAGAGCAATCCGTTGGTCTTTTCCGCTAAGCTCTACGACGCTCCGTTTTCAAACGCCAAGGGGGGGTCGCACCAACCCCCCCTGCATGGGCGAAGGTGGCAGATCGCCGTTTACGGGCGAGGGTTAACCCTCGCCGGCCGAGGGGGGGGGGGGCGGGTGCCGCCCCCCCATAGGGTTTTTTTCGCGATAGCTCCGAACACGCTGGCGATAGAGAGCTGAAACTTGGCATACCTGACCTTTGATCCAAGCCGCATCTTTTGACACCAACCGCATTTTTGGGTCAGGTCAGGTCACTGACCTATGACGTCATAAGTGAACCTCTGCACGGTATTCAGATGTCGCAACTTCGCAACGCCCTCACTGCCAGAGGAGATGTCACAGGGAAATGAAACTTGCAGGATCTAGTATCCATTATGAGTCTCACAACTTGTATATCTCGGATTTTTCCTAAAGGTCATATGAGGTCAGGTCATTTTCGTGACCTCACCATTATAAGTCAATGGGGAAAAATTCAAACTGCTATTCTGGCGCCGGGAACGATCTCCAACTATCTCAAGCACACAGAATCGTGATTTGATGCACTCCTTGCAAGGTTAGATGCGTCACTTTTGCAATGTTGACCTTCCGTGACGTCATTTATGACGTCATCAAGGTCATATTAGTTTTTCGTCAATAACTCCCGACCAAATTGAGCTAGCGAGTCGAGAAAGCCACCAATGGACTCAGGAAGACCTGCCGAATCGAATGATATGCGACATGACCTCTTTCGACCAACTTCGTGACCTGGGGGTGCTGACCTGACCTTGACCTGAGGTCAACACCCTAAGTTGACCTGACCCGAACAAAAAGTATATTATTCGACGCGCCTGAGCGAGGCGAACACGATGCTGCCAAAATCGCGGCTCTGCGGCCGTTTTTTTGCGAAGTTATTCACCAAAAACTGAACCGTACCCTGGGGCACTTGACCTGACCTCAGAGGTCACCGGTTGACCTAGGACCTTAAAATCGGGTACCAATCTCTGCGTCTCGTAACGGCGCACACGCTCGTTTTTTCCGCGACGCGCTAGCTCCACCAGGGGCGAAACGGCGAGGGGGGGGGGTCGTACCCGCCCCCCCCCCCCTCGGCCGGCGCGTATGTAGAAAACCAATAGGTCCGGCGAGGGTTCTTTAGAAGGGCCCGACTCGGTTTGAGCTCTGATCTAGACTCTGATGGCTCTATGTCGCCCACATTGGCCTCACTCCGACCTCTGAAGGCTCATTCTGGCCTCTGAAAGCCCCACACCGGCAACAGAGTGAACCACGCTGGCCTCCGGGCCCCATAATGGCCTCAGGAGACCCATGCTATATCTGACCTCACAGGGCCCCCCACTGGCTCTTGGGAGCCTTTGAGTCAGGCTCTGATGTCCCTATGCCGCTCTCGAACCCACACCGGTCTCTAGAAGCCCACGATGTCCCCTGAGGGTCCCACGCATGCCTTTAAGGGCCACCCCTACCTTAGGGCCTCAGGGGGCCCAAACATGCATAGGGTCTGAAGAGTGGCTGCCGAGGCCCTCGAGGTGGTCTCTAATGGCCCGACGCCAGCCTATGAAGGCCCACGCTGGCTTCAGAGGGTTCACGCTGGCCACAGAGGGTCCCACACTTGCCTAAAAGGGCTCCACATTGTCTTCAGAGGGCCCCAAGCTGGTCTCCGTGGCCAATGGACCTCAATCTGACCTAAGAAGGTCCTATGTCTCTGGGCTTAAAAGACCCAATGCTGGACATCGACGGCCCCACGCTGGACATAGAGGGTCCCACACTGGCCTTAGAAGAGGGCCTCCACAATGGCCTTAGCGGGTCCCACGCTGGCCTTAGAGGGCTGAGCGCTGGCTCCTTAGGGCTCTACGCCAGCGTCAAAGGGTCCCACGCTCAAGTCTAAGCTTTTTTATGGCCGCCAAAGCGACCTCTGAGGGCTCCACGCTAGCCTCTGGGGGCTCAGCCTTGGCCTCTAAGGGCCCTACGCTGGCCTATGAGGGCCATCAAATGGCATTTTAAGATAGTTTGACGCAGTTTGACCCTGAAAGTTACTGGTGGCCCTTCATAGGCCGGCAAGGGACCCTCAGAGGCCGGGAGGCCCTCAGAGTCGCTGGTAAGTGGTCGTCAGATGCGCTGGCCTAGGGCCCTCGCTCGGAGGCGCCAGAGGCGCCTCAGAGCCACCGAAGTAGGCCCTTAAGAGGCACTGGTGTGGGACCCTTAGAGATGGCAGTGAAGGCCATCAGAAACTGGTGTGGACCGTGGGGCCCTTACAGCTGATCCCTGATTGGCCGGCAACGGCCCTCAGAGGAAGGCAAGGTCCCTCAGAACCCGGCGTGGGGCCCTTCTGGAGATAAGTGTAACTACACAAGAGACCATGGGGTGTTCTCACAAGCCCTGTGATGTCCTTTCCAGTTGAAGCGTGGCCAGCGCGAACCCTCTGCTGCCAATTGGCACCGCAGGGTCCCTCGGGCCCGAGGGGACCCTAAACCTTATAACGTACATGTGCCCCTCGCCCCTGGCTATGCCGTTGAATCCAAGTGATCAGGGGCTGTTCAGGTGATCAGGGGCCTCTCAGGTGACTAGGGGCCTTTCAATTGACCAGGGGCCCACCAGGTGACCAGGGGACCTTCTGATAACCGGGGGCCGGTTATACCAGGAGCTCCACGGGTACCTAAATGCCTTCATGTGACTGCAGGGGCCCTTCATATAACCAGGTAATCCCCGGGTAAACATGGCCCCTTGGGCGACCAGGGTTTCTTCAGGACACTGGCCAGGGGCCACCCAAGGGATCAGAGACCCCTCAGGTAGCTGGGGGTCCCTTAGATAACCAGGGGCCCCTCAGGTAACCAGGGCCCCTCAGGTAACCAGGGGCCCCTCAGATAACCAGGGGGTCTCAGGTAATTACGGGTCCCTTAGGTAATCAGGGGGCCCTCAGATAACCAGGGGCCCATTAGGTAACGCAGGGGCCCCTCAAATAGCCAGGGCCCCTCAGATAATCAGGACTCCTTCAGATAACCACGGGCCCCTCAGGTAACCAGGGCCCCCTCAGATAACCAGGGGCCCCTCAGACAACCAGGGGCCTGTCAGATAACCAGGGACCCCTTAGGTAGCCAAGGGCCCCTCAGATAACCAGGGGCCTCTCAAGTGACCAGGGGACCCTCGGGGCCCCGTGGGCCCCCTTGGGTACGTCACTGCACTCAAGTGACCCAAAGGGCCCACTTGCATGTTTGATGCCAAAGGGGGAGGCCATGGCCTCTTGGCCTCCCCCCTGGATACGCCACTGCTGTCACATCGGGAGCACCTGAGTCGACTGAAAGAGAGGCTGAAACAACTCCGAGAAGGGACGCTGCTGAAGATCGAGGAGGACCGATCGAAGAGAACGAGTTGAGACGAGTGATGTGAATTTCCCATTGGGGGACCAGGTCTACTGCAGGAATTTCACGTCGGCTAAGGGCAAGAAAGGGAAGTTGCAACCGCGGTTTGAAGGACCGTATCGGGTGGTCGATGCGAGACCCCAGACTACCTCATTCGGAAGGGGAGACGAAGGCGTTTGGCACTGATGTTAGTTGTCGGACTTTCGTCCCCGTCTTGAGTTGAGATGTTAGTTTCACAACGTTTCGGCCAGTTACTTCTCCGGCCGTCGTCAGGTGTTCTTTGGCCCTTACAAGGACCTGGATGTTGGTGGCGTTGCGCCGTACGTGTCATACCGTTCGAAAGCCCCTGTAGTCAGCGGGAATCGAACTCGGGTTTTCCCGGTGATAGTCCACGGTTCTAACCACTCCACTATCGAGTTCGATTCCCGCTGACTTCAGGAGCTTTCGAACGGTATGACACGCACGGCGCAACGCCACCAACATCCAGGTCCTTGTAAGGGCCAAGGAACACCTGACGACGGCCGGAGAAGTAATTGGCCGAAACGTTGTGAAACTCGCGTTTGAAACTCCGGGCCAGTGTGTCCAAAATCGTAATGTTTCGGGGAAATCCACCCATGATGAAAAGCATAATGACATCCTAAAAATATCAATAAAAACATCCACACGGCAGTCACGACTTATAATAACAACCTCGAACCCAAACCTCTAGGAGCAAGAGAAACACAAACCTCGCAAACTCTGACAACACGCCAAGACAACCATTCGAATAACCAAAATGATAAAATATATGACCCGACTTAACCCGGCAGTTGCTGGGGTATTTCGCCGCCCACCGTTTGCTGGGGGGGGGGGGGGGCGTTAGACGCCCTCAGCCGATAACTCGAGAACCAATAGGCGCAGCGAAACGCACGAGGCGGCAAACGAAAGAACGCGACGAGACGCTTCAGATGAATACTTAAAAGTTGAATTTTGAGGTCACAGGTCGGGTCAAGGTCAGGTCAAACACCTGAAATCGGGCTTTCAGTAGCATGGACTTCAGGACTTTGCAATGGGCGCCTCTCGTCATAAACTCTGTCAAAACGGTGCACAATCCATCATAAAAGGCCTACAAGAGTGTCAGCTCCATGTAGGGGTCAGTCAAGCATAGGTCAAGGTCAAGGTCAGGTCAACCCCGTAGGTAGGCACATATCCCCGAAAATCAAAACTGATATTCGCAGCCTGTGACACATGTTTTATAGGTAATTTGGGGCGTAGAACACGATGGTGACATTCATTTTATCATGTGTGTACGTTTTTGGCTCAAAAAGTTCAATTTAAGAAATACATGTATCATGGTTGTGAAGTAGTCACGAGGAATTGCCAAGATTCAGTTCAAGATTATGGAAAATGCGGAACGGTAATCAATAATCGAAGATAGCCATTTGATTGATCATGGTATTGGCAGTGTAATGGCGTTTACGGCATGTCTGTATGTATGTTCTGTGATTTTATATGATTTTTTGAACATATGCCGTTTTTGGTCGAAAACTCAGAAATTATGACGTCACTAAAATCTCGATATCTCAAAAATTTTCCGACCGATTTTTTTGAAACTTTGTCACAATAAACTTCAATCAATTCCCTACAGGTACGCAAAATTTCCCGGCGAAAAAGTGGGGGCGTTTAACGCCCCCCCCCCAGCAACTCGCGGGTTAAAAACCTCATTTAACATCCCGAATATCAGAATGCCCTCAAAGTTCAGTTTCTACATCATTTTCTCGTACATGTATAAAAACAGCGCTTAAAAAGGGTCGAAGTCAAATTTTATGAAAATAACGACATCCTTTCCGGCCTTTTTTCTACATCCTCCCCCTAACGTAAAATGAATTTAGCTACACTGCTCCGGGCTAAAAACGGCGCGCCGCAGGCGTGCCAAATTTTGGGTACCTGTAGGGAATTGATTGTCGATTGAAGTTTATTGTGACAAATTTTCAAAAAAATCGGTCGGATTTTGTTTTTAGATATCGAGGTTTTAGTGACGTCATGATTTCTGTTTTTTCGACCAAAAACGACATATGTTCAAAAATCATATAAAATAACAGAATACACATACAGACATGCCGTAAACGCAATTAGACTGCCAATACCATGAACAATCAAATGGATATCTTCGATTATTGATTATCGTTCCCATTTTCCAAAATTTTGAACTGAATCTAGGCAATTTCTTGTGACTACTTCTCGACCATGATACATGCATTTCTGAAATTGAGCTTTTTGAGCTAAACACGTACACATATGATAAAATGAATGTCACCATCGTGTTCTACGCCCCAAATTACCTAGAAAACATGTGTCACAGGCTGCGAATATCAGTTTTGATTTTCGGGGATATGTGCCTACCCGGTTGACCTGACCTTGACCCTGACATATGCTTGACTGACCCCTACATGAAGCTGACACTCTTGTAGGCCTTATATGATGGATTGTGCACCGTTTTGACAGAGTTTATGACGAGAAGCGCCCATTGCGAAGTCCTAAAGTCCATCCTACTGAAAGCCCGATTTTATGTGTTTGACCTGACCTTGACCCGACCTGTGACCTGAAAATTCAGCTTTTAAGTATTCATCTGAAGCGTCTCGTCACGCTCTTTCGTTTGCCGCCTCGTGGGTTTCGCTGCGCCTATTGGTTCTCGAGTTATCGGCTGGGGGGCGTTGGCTGGGGGCGTTTAACGCCCCCCCCCCCCCAGCAAACGGTGGGTGGCGAAATATCCCAGCAACTGCCGGGTTAACCCGTCAAAAAGCAATCGACCGAAATGGATGCATGACCCACGGGCACAAGACCAGCCAAACGCCCACCGATCGTAAACACCCCTTATTCGCGTTGCGGAGCAAGCGAGTCACTCTAGCGGGCCCCATCCACCCGGGGGCCCGGGCCCCGTCCACCCGGGGCTCCGGGGCCCGTCAACCAGGGGGCCCGGGCCCCGTTCTCCCGGGGGCCCGGGCCCCATCCACCCAGGGCCCAGGCTCCGTCCACCTCCTGGGGCCCCAGGCCCCTCATCCGTGGTGTCCCAGTAGGTATTTCTCGAAGCGGGCTCGTCCGATTTGATATTTGATTGGAATCTCTCTCTCTCTCTCTCTCTCTCTCTCTCTCTCTCTCTCTCTCTCTCTCCTCTCTCTCTCTCTCTCTCTCTCTCTCTCTCTCTCTCTCTCTCTCTCTCTCTCTCCTCTCTCTCTCTCTCTCTCTCTCTCCTCTCTCTCTCTCTCTCTCTCTCTCTCTCTCTCTCTCTCTCTCTCTCTCTCTCTCTCTCTCTCTCTCTCTCTCTCTCTCTCTCTCTCTCTCTCTCTCTCTCTCTCTCTCTCTCCTCTCTCTCTCTCTCTCTCTCTCTCTCTCTCTCTCTCTCCTCTCTCTCTCTCTCTCTCTCTCTCTCTCTCTCTCTCTCTCTCTCTCTCTCTCTCTCTCTCTCTCTCTCTCTCTCTCTCTCTCTCTCTCTCTCTCTCTCTCTCTCTCTCTCTCTCTCTCTCTCTCTCTCTCTCTCTCCCTCCCTCCCTCCCTCCCTCCCTCCCTCCCTCCTTCCCTCCCTCCCTCTCTCTCTCTCTCTCTCTCTCTCTCTCTTTTTTTTTTCTCTCTCTCTCTCTCTCTCCCTCTCTCTCTCTTTTTTTTTTCTCTCTCTCTCTCTCTTCTCTCTCTCTCTCTCTCTCTCTCTCTCTCTCTCTCTCTCTCTCTCTCTCTCTCTCTCTCTCTCTCTCTCTCTCTCTCTCTCTCTCTCTCTCTCTCTCTCTCTCGCCCGATGACTGCAGCTCGCCCGAAAACCCTATGCAGGTCGTGTAATTTCGTGGAGGATCATGCTTAGTGTAGCTTGGCCATATGGTCAAATAACCATTGGTGACACACCGTTTTTCGTTACGGGGGCGTTTTGCACTGTTCTCCCCTTTATACAAATGTCATATTGAGTCTCCACATTATGTATTCTGCCTTAATTTGGATGCAGTGCTCTTGCCTCTTTTTCATCAAAGTATTGAATGCAGCCTGAAACACTTGCCGCAGTCAGGAAATCGCATGTTGGAGCCTTTTCAAATACATGGAAGCATGGTCGCATCAATCGCACGCACCAGCATGCGATTGATGCGGGAAGAATTACAATGTATTTCAATATCAATAGGCTATTTGAATAGGTTACCACACTGAAAAACCAACAGATGTGAAAATGTCAGTCTGGCTGATATTTCTTTTTTGCATGAATCCAAATCAAGGCGGAACTAACCGTAGCCGGCAACTTTTCTGTTGGTGAAACTGGTTAATTAATTGTTATGTTCGTTGCAGAGATAATCCGGCTTATTGATAAATGTTGCTTCACAAAATGGCTGCTGTCAAGATATGTAGGCAGCTTATTCTGAAACCTGCAAGCTCCAAACTTCTCCAGGCCTGCTCAACCGTGGTGATTGCTGAAAGAACTGCCTGTAAGTTATATATTTGGGCTGTTTATTGGTTTTGCAACACTTGGGAAATATTGCACGTTACACTTAAAATTGGTATATTGCATTTGGTGGTAGTCATGTGCCATACGCAGCCTTATGTATGTGTTCAAGTTCAGTCATAGACTCGTGTGCAGGAAGCGTGTGCACTGGCGGATCCAGAAAGGCGGTCTTGGACGCTGCGGGGGGGGGGCATGCATAGGTGAAGAATTGTAAAAATCCACGTGGGTGTTGAATCAGTGGCGCTGCTTGGTGCCTTGCTGATGGTGCATGTTGGTCGGCTCTATAGCGAGGTTGAAGGTAGGTGCAACTTTGCCACCGTGTCAGAGCTACAGTATGTAGATGACGGAAACCTTTCAAAGTCGCAGGATGAAATGAGGTCTGAGGTACTACTCCCAAATGTAAATGCAGGATGTAATGAGGTACTCCCAAATCAGCTTTTCTCGTCGGATTTCGGCTACTTTTTGGTCCTGGCCTAAGGTCGTCAAAATGATAAACGGAAATGTGTGCAACATTTTGCTTAAAACCTCCAGCTAGTACGCCACGCCGTTAATGACAAGTTAGAAGAATGACCATGCAAATAAAATGGCCGTAAGGTTGGGCATTCTACGATAGATCGTACCACTTTTTTCCAATTTGACACCCTCATCTCTCGGAATTTGACGAAAATTGGTCTCAGGGGTAATCAGGGGCTCTGAATCCACCTGTAACAATTTCAGGCTTATCAGATAAGTATTTTTTGAGTTATGGTGTATAACATTTTTTGGATCTTGCTTTGCAGCGCTAAGTTTGGCGGGCTGTTACTCTAAGACGGATTATTCAAATGCCAAATGTTATATAGCATTGAACTTGCTGTTATGATTCAAACATTAAAAAAGCCAAAATCATTTTATCTCATGTCTTATATTGCCTTTACTTGCAAATAACTACTCATATGCTAGATTCTACATGATTCTATTCAAAGTTCCGAATCCACCTCCCGAAATTCTCCCTTTTTTCTTGCTTCGACAAAAATACACAAATCACGAGAATGCAAATCCTCGCGCTTATTCCGGCAGGGAGCTGTCGTTCGCAACGACATCCTCCCCCTCCCAAGGGCTGACGACACGAGGAACGAGGTGGCAGCTCCCTCAGACAGTGTCCTCCTCCAGCACACAGATCCGTCGCACCGGGCGGTGCACTTCATCATCATCATCATCATCATGTATTCTTATGTTCGTCCACATTCGATGGCTTTTCGGAACAAGTGTCAGGTTTACATAAAATCAGGTACCTATTAAAAGTAAAATATGCAGCATAAAAGTAAGATTGCACCCTACACTAAAAATATTAAAATACACATGAAACACGCCTAAAAGTTATCAACACCATTTAAAAAAAGTATCAGTGTCCTATTTAGGTGGAGGTCGTCAGCCACTTTCTCGCCCTTCTCCGACAGACTGGCAGAGCGGGACTCTCTCACTTCCGCAGGAGCGCGGTTCCAGAGTGAGACAGCACGACAAAAGAACGATTTCCGTGCGTGTTCACTGCGCACTCGAGGGATCTGCAGCGAGCCGGCTAGAGAGCCCCTCGTGTCCCTGGTGGAGACGTCACTGCGGTGTGCGATTTGGGCCGTGAGGCCGGTTGGCGCTTGGTCGTTATTGAGCAAGTAGTGCATTTGCGATGCGTCGCGCTCGGCCACAAGGTTGTCGAGTGACGGCCACTCCAGTTTCGCTAACAACGGCGTGACATGGTCGCGTCTCCTCGCCCCCTTCACCACCTGCGCACAGTGGTTTACCACTTTCTGTAGCCGATGGCGCTGGGTGGCGTTGCAACCAGCCCATACAGTAGAGCAGTAGGCGAGATGTGGAAAGATGAGCATTTCTACAATCATTTTCTTTACAGACTCCGGCAATTTGCCAGCCATTTTTGATAGGCCTCCGAGTGTGGCATAGCAGCGTCTGACTGTGCCAGACACATGCTTCTCAAAAGTCAGCCCTGCGTCTACATCCATCCCCAGCACTTTCACCGTTGAAGACGGTCTGATTGAAGCATCGCCAAGTTGAACAGAAAATTCAGAGGTTAACAACCTCCTGTTTGACTTGATAAGAATAAGATCCGTTTTAGTGGGGTTAATTTTTAGACTGTTTTCGTTAAACCAACTGTGCGCGGTGGCTACGGTGCGCTCAACACTCGCTTTCAGTTGAGACAGATCGTCGGGTCTACTCCGGTGCAAAAACTGGACATCATCGGCGTACATGACTATTTTGGACTCCTCTGTGTCTATGTAGGACACTAAATCGTTTGTAAAAATTAAAAATAACACTGGGCCGATCAGGGACCCCTGCACCACGCCATGCGTAATGGGCAGCGTGTCACCTGCACCACCTCTCACAGCCTGTCTGCGCCCGCCGAGCCAGTTCACAAACCAGTGGGTATCAATCCCGTACCAGCCGAGCTTCTCTAGGAGCCGGGGATGCCGAACGCTGTCGAACGCCTTGGACGTATCGGCCGTGGTAAGGCAGCCAATGAACCCACGGTCCATGCCGTCCATTAAATACCCAACAGCGTCCAGCATCGCCGACTCCGTGGATCGGCCCGGCCGGAACCCATGCTGTTCATCGCAGAGTATGTTGTGTGACAGTAGATACGACATCAGTTGGAGACAGACAACACTCTCTATCAGCTTCGCGACGGTCGGCAAAATTGATTGTCGGCACCGCCGTGCACCCGCACGCGGGCAGAGCGCACACGACCGTCCGGACCTGGCATCACCTCCACCACGCGACCGAGTGGCCACCGACCGCGTGGCATGTTCTCCTCCACCAGTAGGACCGGGTCTCCACGGGCCAGATTTCTTGTCTCACGAGTCCACTTCTGGCGGCAGATCAGACTGGGTACATACTCTCTCAACCAGCGGGCCCAGAACTGATCCGCCAGCGCCTGTGTCTGACGCCAGAGCCGCCGGCTGGACGTGTCTCTGTCGCTGAAGACACCCGGTGGAAGACAGACGGTCCGGTATCCCAGCAGCAAGTGGTTGGGTGTGAGCGCCTCCAGGCCATCATCCTCAGAGGACACGTAGGTCAGCGGTCGGCTGTTCACCACGGCTTCAGCCTCCGTGATGACAGTGTGTAGGACTTCGTCAGTGACAATCAGCTTTCCGAGAACGGTGCGGAGTGCCCTCTTCACCGTTCCTATCATCCTCTCCCAGATGCCGCCCATGTCCGCTGCCCCCGGCGGATTGAAGCGCCAGATGATGTCAGCCTGAGACAGTTGGTCGCTGATGTCTTGTTGGTTCCACTCGTGGATCAGCCGGCGGAGCTCTCTCTCGCCAGCTCGCAGATTCGTGCCGTTGTCGCTGTAGATCACTTCAGGCTTGCCTCTCCTCGCGATGAACCTCCGAAGTGCCATGAGGAAGCTGTCCGTAGATAGAGACTCTGCTACTTCGAGATGGACGGCTCGGGTAGTTAGACATGTTATCAGCAGACAGTATCTCTTCTGCTGCATGCTGCGCCGACCCGACCTGGTGACCAGAGGCCCGAAGAAGTCAATCCCAACTGAGCTGAAACTGCGACGGGTGTCAAATCTCGAGTCCGGGAGATCGGCCATGAGCGGCTGGCATGGCTTGGCCCGTCGACGGCGACAGACTACGCAGGCGCGCACGACCTTCTTCACTGTTTGTCTTGCCCTCGGGATCCAGTATTGCTGACGGAGCTCGTTCAGGACGTGATCTGTCCCGGCGTGCATCAGCCGCTCGTGAGTGGCTGCGATCAGCAGTGACGTCACACCGGCTTCTCTTGGTAAGATGAGTGGATGGCACGCCGTCTCTGATAGCGGAGCACGGTCCAGGCGGCCTCCGACACGTAGCAGGCCATCTTGACCCAGCTGCGGAGACAGAGGCAGTAGGCTACTGCTGCTGTCTATGGGAGCTCCTCTTCTCAGCGCAGCCAACTCCCGACCAAATTCCTTGCGTTGCAGCAGGCGAATGATAGCGGCATCTGCTTCTCGGAGCTCAGGTGTCGACAGGGGGCCGGAGCCGCGCCTACCAGTCGTGCGTGCGGCCGCCAGATTCTTGCAGAATCGGAGCATCCAACCCACCGTGCACCGGTACCGGTTCCAACTAGAGAAGCGGCTGGGGTCCGGTAACACTTCAGACGTTGTCTCGCTCCCATAACTCACGCTCAGAACCGTCTTCACCTCAGGATCTTCTTCTGCGACTGACCGTGGTAGAGGATCCTCCGGCCACATCTTCTCAGGCTGCCATAGGAAGTCGGGCCCATGGATCCAGCGGCAGTCTTCAGTCATCTCGGATGCCACCAGTCCACGAGTGCAGTCATCGGCTGGGTTTTCTTCTCCGGGTACGAATCGCCACTGGGACGGTTCGGAAACACTCCGGATCTCTGCGACACGATTCGCAATAAATGTGTGGAATCGCCGGCTGGTGTTGAAAATGTAGCCAAGCACGACTCGGCTATCGCTCCAGTAAATTGTCTCGTGGATGTCCAGTGTGAGCTCTTGTCTCACACAGCAGGCCAGCCGTACAGCCATGACAGCCGCCTGTGTCTCCAGTCTCACAATGGAGAGTTTCTTCAGGGGGGCGACCCGGCATCTGCTCATAACCAAGGAGCAATGCACCAGTCCATCTGGGTACACTGTTCGAAGGAATGCTACCGCACCAAATGCCCTTTCCGAGGCATCACCGAACACATGGAGCTGTGTCTGACGTGGCCTTTCTTCTAGTCTTCCGTACCATCTTGGCACCGTGACCGCTGAGACTCGTGACAGTTCGGTGAGCCATGCAGTCCATCGCCGATATTCATCTGCGTCGAGCTGCTCGTCCCAGTCACGCTGAACAGACCAGAGGTCTTGAAGGAGCAGCTTCGCCAGCAGCGTGAATGGAGAGAGCAGGCCAATGGGATCATAGATCGAAGCCACCACACGTAAAACTGAGCGTTTTGTCTCTGCATCTTCAGTAACTATTGGCGGCTGGCTTACAGACAGCTTGT